GGTACTCAAGCAACAGCCTCACCGTTAGTTGAATATAAGTATGTCGAGGTACCATCACAACCAATTGTACAATATGTACAAGTGCCTGGTGAGCCGCAAATACAAGTTGTTCCAAGCAAACCGGTAGTCAAACATGTTTATCGGAAGCCGAAAAAACCCGCTTTGGTCAAAAAGTCCATGTTAGACGCATTCCGAAATCCGATAACACTTTAAATGCCGCTATAGAATACGCTCCTACTCCGCCTAGTGTTCCGATAGTAGAATTTCCTGCTGATGGTGTGTTAGAATATCAAGTACCTGTCAATGGATCTTTTCCGGCTTTGGAAAATACTCAACCAGCTATTGAAGGGTCAAAAGCGCTGTCCGTTAAACCGAAAACTTTAAACCGGCTCCGGCAAAAAGACAAAGATCAGCAACTTGCTATTGAAGGGTCGAAAACGGTGGCAATTAGGCCAAAAACCTCTAAAAAGCTCCAAAAGGCCACACCAAAACCTAAGAAAAGGGCTGCAATTGCTAGTGGTTCTGAAAGATTAGCAATAGAAGCCAGTGAGGAAGAGCAAGCAGCTATTACCGACGCAACGCCGCTTAAGGCTTTAACTTACATACAATCAAATAAGGCTGAAAGTTCAGGTCAGCACAAAATACAGTTGAGAAAACGTAATAAACCGTCAGGACCTCCCGCTAAAAGACACAAAGGTGGTATACAAAGAGGCGGCTGGCTCTCGTACACATGATGAAGCCCACATTAGATGATTTGTATTTGAATCCTGTTTCTCAAGGGAGTTTAGGTGGCATAGACCGCTTGTACAAAGAAGCCAGAAAACATGGATATACACGAAAGCAAGTTAAAGCTTACTTAGAAACCAAAGACGCATATACACAACACAAACCTTTTCGGTCAAAGTTCAAACGCCGAAAAATTATTTCCGTTAATGTGGGAGACCAACATCAAATTGATCTTGTGGATTTTCAAAAATTTGCTAGTTATAACGATGGCTTTAAGTATATTCTTATGTGTATCGACTGCTTTTCTCGTTATGCATGGGCTGAGCCGGTTAAATCAAAACGGCCTGCTAATATTCGTGAAGCGCTTTTGAAAATATACAAGAGCGATTATCCTCCATTACGCGTTCAAAGCGATAATGGTAAGGAATTTGTTAGTAAAGACATGCGTAAGTTTTTTGAAGAATGTAACGTTACATTTTTTACAACAAAAAACGATGATGTAAAGTGTGCGATGGTTGAACGTCTAAATCGTACAATTGAAGACCGGTTGTATGTGTTCATGACCGAAAACAACACATACCGATTCATTGATATCCTTCCTAAGGTTTTATCCGCTTACAATTCTACAAAACACTCGGCTACAGGAGTAGCCCCTAAAGACGTCGGTCCTGAAGAAGCTGAGCAAATTCTCCAGAAGATGGTTGATGAACAAAAGGTATGAAAAATCCAGAACCAACATTTTCTGTTGGCGATCATGTACGTTTGGCAAAAAAAGAAACAGACATTTGAAAAAGGGTACGAGACTCGTTTCACAGAAGAAATTTTAAAATAACCCACACTACACGAAGCAGGAGCCATTACCTTTACACGGTCGAAGATTTAGCAGGCGAACCTGTAGACGGTAAGTTTTATCCGGAAGAGTTATCTAAAGTCAAAATGGCAGAAAAGCCATATCACAGGATCTCTAGGATATTAAGGGAAAGGAAACATAAAGGAAAAGTACAATACTTAGTACGTTGGTATGGATACGGCCCTGCTTATGACTCTTGGGAAAACAAAGAAGATTTGAAATGAGTTTTTACATGACATTGCCGTCTTCGGCGTCAGAGGGGTTATACTCTGATAACTGCCCTGGTAAATTTACAACGCTTCTCGCTAGACCCATAGATTTAGACGGTGCGTGGGAAGTAGGTCTTTCGGAAATTATTCTACCGCCTATGCGGATAAAGTTTAATACCGGATTATCCATTGCTGTCTCGCGTGACGGTATGCCGTCTAGAATTCATAGATTCGTCGATCTACATGCTTTTGAGGATGAAAATCATTTAATTCGTACGGTTAACAAACTGCTGAGGAAAACGTAGATGATAGGGACTCGAAAACCTACGGCCAGATAATAGTGAGTGGTCAAGCAGCTCAGTTAAACATCACGCCGGGCCTCTCTTTAACTTTTACGGGCTCCGAATACGCGCGCGCACTAGGCATACTACACCAGTACACATATAACAGCAGAGATGCTCTGACTCATATGTTATATCCGGGACAGCATAGTCGTCTCGTGCATGTATATTGTGACGTGATTACACATGGGTTGGTAGGTGACTCAATGGTGCCTTTACTACGCACCTTATCGACTCAAGCGAATTCATTTCGAGAGACAGTAATTCGTTTTGAAAATCCGCATTATATGCCGTTAGCCTACCATACGTTTCAAACTATAGAAATAGCGATGCGCGATGATTTAGGAAAGAAGTACTCTTTCATCCAGGTACATCAGTAATTAAACTACACTTTCGACCAAAGAAGCATTAAAAATGGTTCTACAGGAGTTAAAATTTGACGAGCACCGCTACACCCAGATCTTTACCAAACAGCATGGGTACGGTATGCCATATTATCGTGGCGCACCCATGAAAGGTGGTAGTTTCTGGGGTCGCGTGATTGGTTTTGCAAGGGTTTGTTCAGCAAAGCTGCACCACATATAAACAATTTAATTGCCACTGCACAACCTCACATGAAAACAATGGCCAGCAAAGCTGTGGAATCCGTAATCGATAAAGCTGTTGAGCGTGTTAGCGAGAAATTACGCAACACGGCTCAACAACAGGGGTCGGGTATTAAGGGTCGTCGTCGAAAGAGAATAATCAAAACCACGAAACGTCAACGCGCAATAGACGCTATAAAAGACAAACTGTAACGATGGCTCTTATTGAAGCTGGCTCAGAACCCTCCATGCTGTTGGAAAGTCACTTGTTTTATCTTCCAGCTACGCTAACGGAAAGGTGGAATACACATGACTATGACTTGGGACCGTCTCAAGCCGTAACTGACGATTCAAACGATATTGTATTTACAATTTCACCGTGTCAAACCGAGCTTATCAGTTTAGCTGACATTAGATTTTCATGTGATTTACACGTTACTAATTCTGCTGGTACTGTTCCAACAGAAAAAGACTGTCTTGCACCAATTAACAATATTTTGCATAGTTTATTTCAGTCAGTTACGGTTTCATTGGGAGGTCGCAACATAACCGATAACAGTCCTTTGTATCACATTCGAGCGTACATTGAATCCCTTCTGGGTTTCACTGTTCAGGCTCAGAACAGTCAGTTGAGCCTGTGTGGATTTGCGTTGGACACTGACCTTGACAAAGACCCGTTATACATGAATGAGATAAATGGGGCAACAACATTTCATAGTAAGGGTGCCGAAACGCGAAGAACATGGTTGCAGACTTTCCGTCCGTTGCAGTTGTCTGGTAAACTACACTGCGACTTGTTCCAGCAAGACCGACCACTAATTCCTGGTGTAGAGTTGAGCATTAAACTGATACGAAACAGGGCTAGTCTTTGTTTTCTTACTGATAATGATCTAGCAGCTCCAAAGGCTTTTGCTATTCGAAACCCCAAGCTGAAAGTTCGAAAGTATGAACCTTCTCCAGACTTTCTAGCAGCCATGACAAAGCAACTGGTCACAACTAATGCAAAATATCACATTGAACGGGTTGCTTTAAGACAGACCACAATGCAATCAGGCCAGCAGCAGCTATCCTGGGCAAATATTGTTATTGGACAGTTACCCAAGGTAATGTTCTTTGCAATGTCACCCAATCGGTCATTCGTTGGCGATTTTAAGTCAACTCCGTTCAATTTTCATCATTTCAACATATCTAACTTAAGTGCTGAAATTGATGGACAGCTTTTTTCCTACGCGGGGTACAATTTAGATTTCCAGAACGGTGCGTCAATTGAAGGGTATGAAGGGTTGTTAGATACTCTAGAGCGGCTGCATGAAGGTCATGGCGAACTACCATTTGACAGGTCCGTATTTAACAAGGGTGGTTTCAATATTTTTGGGTTTGACTTCACTCGCGGCCATACGGGCAGAGGAGCGTTGTCGCTGATAAGGCAAGGTAATTTAAACATCAATGTTAAATTTGCAAAACCGCTACCTGAAGGTATAGTTTGCGTAGCTATGATGGTCTTCGATAACATTATCGAAATTAACAACAATCGCCAAGTACTTTTCGACTTTGCGCCATGAACAGCCTACAAATAGATTCAGCGCTAAAGCAAGATCCTAACGTTCGCGACATTTTTGTCGGAGTATTTGCCAGTGATACACTGCCAGCAAAAGAATTTCCAGGTGCATACATATCTAACACTCAACCGTCAGGTGCGGCGGGTGAACACTGGGTAGCATTTTATTGTACGAAACCCGGTACGTTAGAAGTTTTGATTCGTACGGAAAAATCCCGGCGACTATTCAGATGACATTGAAAAATGGATAGACAACGACTTTGTTATAATGTCGAATACTGAGCGACAGAACGCTGATAGTACTGTATGTGGTCAATATTGTATGTTTTTCGTTTTATTACGTTGCTACGGGTTTTCGTATAAAGACGTCATGTCTGCTCTCACTAAGCATAAAGGTGTGAATGATAAATTTGTATGTAAATTCATCAACAAGTTTTTTCGACTAAGGACTGTAGTCCGTGACGCAACATTTATACGCGACCTTATAAGAAATGGTTAAGCCGTTAGCTAAAAAAGCAGCATCAGTATTCTTTGCAGTACTGGTCACCATGCTGCTGGTAGTTTTAATACTTTAGAGATTGTTTCCTATTTTATCAAGTCCGCCAATCGTACGCAGTTGGAAGAATCAAGAAAAATTACGAAAGAGGTGCTGGATGTAATGGTGAGCGACGAAGCGACGCAAACAGATTAGGTTTCCCCTTTCTTTTATTGATTTTTCCCCACCCTCTTTTTTTATCGCGTGCCAAAAGGCAGCGTTGTAAAATCATCTAACATGATGCGCTTGTCGTAAACAAGCTTCAATTTTTTAGCCAACTGAACAGTATTAATTTCTTGGGTTTTTCCATTTCGTTTGATGTATTCTGGATATACAACCTGCACATGCCCATCCACACCATCCAGTAACCGCTTCAGCTGGTTAAAATCCAAGGCTTTTCCAGTCCGCGTCAGCTCCTTCGTGACCGAGTCCCAATCCAGAATATCTTCCGTAAATCCGTTCTGCATCATCCCTTTCACTTTCAACTCAATGCGCCCCGTATTGGTTTCGTAGCTGTACACTTTTGGACCACACGAAACAAATTTGACGATATGATTCTCGCCAGCTTCTAGCTGGTTATCCCAGTCCCCAAGAATACTGCCGGTATCAGGAAGCCAGTCGCCAGGTCGGTGAATGAATATGACGGAATCCGTGTCGTAGTACAGGAGGCGCTCGCCCAACTTTTCCATGAGGGATAACAGTATAAGTCGCGCATGGCTGGTGGTGAAGGCGGCAATGACAACATTCGTACCGTTGCTACCTTCATTGTAGTCATCCACTTTCGAGTGTGTTACCATTAGACACGTTGGGCTTACGCCATACACATCATGTATTTCAATAGCTTTTGAACGACACAGATCAGAATACCGTTTGGGGTCGTAGACAAACTCCGTTGAGTTCATATCGCAACTTTGACCGGTTTTACCCCAAAGACTGTTCACCACAATCTTGGTAGTGCTTTTCTTTCCAGCATCGAAAACCATAGCATCAGGATCCAAGGAAATGCCTTCGCGTTCTCTAACCGTCTGAATAAACTTGGTTTTCTTTTCATCGGAATCGCACCACGCAGGCCAACCACTGGCTTCCATTTTCACTTTTAAAAACTTGTCCATGTATGCCGCAAAGAGTTTGGTGTCAGACTGCGTCCAGTGCCACACTTCATACATTTCCACAACACGATACCCCACATCGATGGCATGATGTAGCTCGGGTGTCGCCCAAACCCTTCGAAACAGCGATCATCGTCTGTATGCGCACAACGGCTTGACGCTTTTTCCATTGCGCATTTTTTGCATAGAACAAACATAAGCTTGCCGTTTATTGTGGCCGGTAAGACTGGATACAGGCATTGATTCGGAGCCGCTACTTTGCAGTAGACCAGTCCAAAATAATCTTTGGCATCCTTGAAATTGGATACGATTACTTCAGGATGGCCGACCGGGTATGCCTTAGTCTTGTTCACGAATGGGTACAAGCTAACAACGTCATAGTGCCTAATTTCTTCGTCATCCTTCACTTGGTAGTACAAACGACTAGCATTCGTCCTGCCTCCTTTGAAGGCGTCACGAGGATTCATTGGCTCACGAATGTTCATATTCAGCAGAAATGCGGCAATATCGGGATCTTGTCGTTCTTTGAGCCACTCACAACTCCATTTCACCTCTACAGTGTAGCCCTGACTTTCAAGGAAGCGTTCGCGTTCCTGGAACTCTTCGTAAACTTCGCGCATTTTCTTTTGGAGTATGGTACAACATCGTTTTCTTCAGTACAGAAAGGATGTCCATGGAAGACGCAGCCGTTATACTCGTAAACGGTTTGTGTCTCCTTGTCAAAACCGTCTACAAAGTATCGCCCAATTTTAACTTCTTTGCCGTTCCGACCATGTCGTATACGACCGTTTGCGCTCATGTTTTCCCATTCCAGCCATTGTGTGGCTTGAATGCTAGTCCGTCGGTTTCTGTGCGGTCCGTGACTGGATAACGCGGCAACTTTGTTCTCGGGAAGGTGAAACATTCTCCAGTACCGGTAGCAGGCCGAAGGCATGGTCATGCTTTCCATTGGATTCAGCGACGTCAGAGCTTGGTAATCGCTGATAAACTTCAGCGCACACACACGCAAAACCGTAACATCGTTCGAGCAGTATGTCATCATCTGCTCGCGAAAATTGAACACCCCATTGGCGGCCGCTTTAGCTTCAGCGTGCCACTTTAGAAATTCTTCTTTTTGCTTTTTTCGCATTCCATCAATCATGTACTGTTCCGGCTCGGGCCAGGGCAAATCGGTTTTATCCCAATTTTCAGGCTTATTAAATCGATGTGGGAAGTCGCCTTTCTGCACTTCGATTTCCAAGCCAACTATGGTAACTGGCTCAACTTCAAAGCCAGAAAGTTGAGTGTATCACGTGAACGGATCCCCAGTTTGCGGTACCGTAATTCCAACAACTGCGTCCCACGCTTGATGACCTCCACTCCTTTCAAACCATTGTCCAACATGTACTTTAGGACAAAATGTCCATCGTAGCCACGAAAATTGTGTGCTATGATAGTAAATCCCCGATGCTTTTCTTGAAACAGCCAGCGCCCAAATGCCTCATCAACTTCCGTATTCATCGGCTGACCATCTTCCGGAAAACGTACTTCCGAACCATCAGCATATTGCGCAACGATGCATGTGGGCACATGACCATTCACTGGATCGTTGTAGGTTTCGTAATCGAAGAAAATGTATTTCATTTCTTCTTGCTGCCATGGTGGCGGTGCCTTGAGCGGTTTTATGTAGCACAAATGCGTAGCTTGAAGAAAAAACCATTGCACGTGTTGCAATAAATTTCTCCGCACTGGTGTTTTACGTTTTGCCACGACTGGAAAGATTTACAAAAACACCGCATGCCTGGCAGATGAACATTTGCTCGCAATAATTCTTTCCATTTTTCCTTTTCTTCTTATGGATATCGAAACACTGTTGGTTGTGGAACCGACGGCTGCATTCAGTGCAGGAGATTGGGTTGTCCACCAGACAATCGCTCTTGTTGCGGTAGCACGACCTACATTTCCCCTCGCAACGATGACGTTCTTTATGATGATACGGTCGATCGCAATCATTGCAGAAGTAGGAGAGCAGTAAAAGCCTGTCGCGGTTGTGACCAGGTCAAAATGCTCATTGTCCAGCAACAAAAAAATCTCCTGCATATCATGGGTTTTACGCTCGGGTACCCGTGCAATAATCATATCGCCTTGATTGGCCGATATAACTTTAATTTGAAACTCGGGAAATTCATTTTCCTGTAGCACGCCTAAGACATCAAGGTCGCAGTAATGGCCGGGTTGCAGATCGCAGTTATTCATTATCTTGGCGGCCTCCGCTTCCAAGTTGTGAGTGCGGTTAGCGCGAATATAATTGTACCATTTATTTTTATGCTGCGGAACTTCAAGGTCATGCGTCAGGCGAAATTTCCCCAGGAACAATGCGGCGGGTAAGCACAAGTTATTCCCTACACGAACGCTTACAATGGATTTCTTGAAACGATTTCTGTCATGCTTAACGTGCTGATGCCTGAGGAACCAGGATCCACCAGCCGGCATGATAGAACGCCAAATCCGTATGGTGAAAGAATCGTCAATCACCAACTTCTGGCCGGAGTTCAGAAGCTCAATACGATGCATAAAAGCGGGTATGCTAAAGTCAGAGAGCTTTCGCATGGTTAAATAAAACGCTCTTTCAAGCCCATCCGATTTAAGAGCCACAACAACGCGGTCCGTCGGGGCAAATTCTTTAAAACACAAATCCATTATGACGCGCAAGATTTCCGGCATGATGAGCATGGTTTCTTCTTTTGCAAATATTCGCGGTAGCGAGGCTATCTGGACACGGTATTTCTGTTCAGTGCTGTTGAATGTTTTGAAAACGCGTTCCGACTCTTTGACCAACTGGAATAGACCTGAGAAATCGGGCAGCGATTCATCACGGACCGCTTTTCCACCAGCTTGCGGCACTTGAGGATCTTCATACTGCCAGTCGTCCAGTTGCGCAAGAGCAAGAGCGGCAGCTAAAGATCCGGGGCTCAACTGATCAGCCTGATCCAGATGCAGCAAAGCCGTTGCTAGAGTCTGTTCATTGAACTCATTGGGATTAGCAAGCATGTGATCAAAAGCTGCTTGATCTTCAACGGTTAACTGGTACGCATCGTTAGCTTGCTGCTGCTGCTCATCATCAACATCCATCCACGGCTCACTGAGTATGGCCGCAATAGCCGCATGATCAGATGCAGACAACTCATAAGTCATTTTTTTCGCCAGATGTGAGGGATTAAAATGAAGAAAAATCTCGTGCCGCGCGGGTTTTATACACGAGCTGAATTACTGCAGCGTGTGCTTATTGGTCTGATGTTTTCTGTAATGCGATGCAATTGGTTAACAGTGTTTAAGCCACACCTTTGGGCGTTCCAGTGGGCGCGAGTGGATACTTACCGGCGCTAGCAGCGCCGGTAAGTAACCGCTCGGCCTTTTTTTCGACATGTTTGAACGTGAAAAACTAACGAAAAAGAACCACGTTGTATTATTTCCAACAACAACCATCTCCATCGAAAACAGTCTACACCATTACCACAACACTGTAATTCCACTAATACTGTAACCATTATCCCACGGTATGCGGTATCAAATGAGAGGTATGAAAACTGTACTGCCGTTATCCCATGGTATGTATTGTATGTAAAAACAAAACCATAAAAAAGAAAAGCACTACGACATTTTAGTTTTGGGTGTTCACCTCAGTCTCTTGCTTCTTGGTAGGCGGTTCGTCGTTGTCGTCGTCGTCTTCCGAATGCTTCCGTTTGTTGCCACCTACGACAGTCTCCGCAGGCTCAGTGCTGTTCAGGTATTCTTCCAAGTCAATGTCTCCGACCAGGAGAGTGTCGTCCAGTTCCTCTTCGGCTTCGGTCTCCGGAACCGCGTCGTCGATTTCTCCTTCTTCAGCTTCAGTCGCCGGCTCACTCTCCAACGTGTCATCCGCAAGAACGTGTTCACCTTCTTCTTCGTTTTCGTCACCCACGTCGCTTTCAGCTTCATCCGACGGATCGCCCTCGAAGAAACCCGAGTCAAGCGAGTTGTCCGGGGCGCCAGCAATGCGTTCGTAGTAAAAGTCGTGCAGCCGCTTCTACAAACGCCATGCATTGAATATAAGTTAAACTATGCACAGAAAAATACATCAACGGTGAGGGTTCTTACCATAAAATCAGTTAGACGGAGAAACAAGAGGAGGACGCCAGCATTGCGGGTGTAACGCTGAAGATCGAACCACATATTCTTGGCCCGCTGGTAGTAAGTGTAGTAGGTGTGGATCTGGTCAAACTCAGTACGTGAAGCCCAGTCCGAAATCAAATCGTTGGCTTGCTCTAAAAGGTTAAGCATGTTATAAGTATTGGATTAGACGAACACGGAAATCTTCACGAAAATTCAGTGGCTCACCAATGTACTGTGCAAGTAGTGGAAATTCGTCAGGCAAATCCGGAGTGGGAACAATGAGCCGATAGTAGAAATCGTGAAGTTGTTTCTACATGGAAAATTTTAAAATTAGCGATAAATCGTAAACCAAAGTCAAAGGAGAATTGAGAAGTGCAAATTTAGGTGAAGAATAAGATTTACAGCTGAAATACAGTGGATGCTTACCAGAAATTCAGCGATATGGAGAAACAAGACGAGAGCATCATAATGGCGGATGTAGTGAGCAAGGTCAATCCACAACGCATAGGCTAGGTTGAAGTAGCCAGAATAACGCCGGATTCTGCGGCAGTGGTTGAGAGCCAACCAATCCGAAAACAATTCATTTGCGATCTCTATAAGAAGCCGAGGTTTTCTTTTGGCATTCGAGTAATAACCATGTTATAAAGAGCCTCAATCTAACTATGAAAGGTCACCATTGCTAATATTAGAAAATTAAATTTGACAGCTTTTGTAAATAAATAAGTTAGCAGTGCATACTGTTTGAACTTACCGGTGTACTCTTCAAGCAGTGGAAACTCGTCAGGAAAATCAGGAATAGCCATGGGAGATGCTGAAGATCCAGTTCCAGTGGTGTGTAAAAGAAAACTGTCCGAATGATTTGATTTTGTGCTAGAGAAATCGACTTATATCCTCTGGCTTGGAACTCAACATTTTTCCTGGTGCGGAGCCATTGGCTGTAGGTGATTTGTAAACTCCCACTACCCTTGACCAGACTGATGTGGTCCGAAGCAGAGAGTTTTTGGTCTGGTGGACACTGGTTCTCTAACGATGTGGGTTGGGCTGTATGATACGTGGAGCTACCAAGGAAAATTCCTTATGACCCATTCGGTAAAAGGGCCGAGGAGAACTATTGTAAGAATCCGGAAAAACCGTTTTTAAACAATGGAAGTCGCGACGGAATCCGGCTCCCAAATATCAAGGTACCAGACCAAATCAAAAGAACGTGTAACCCAGATAAACAGGATTATGTCGGTAGCAACACAATGCAATCTTAGTCAGTGTCGCGACAAATCCGGGATATTAGCTAGGCATCAGGGCAAATGGATAGGAGAACGACAGCCATTATACCAAAATTCTCAAACAATAGAAATCAGGTCGCTGACGCGACTTATTCAGGATCTAAGATACGGATGCAGGGTAAATCAAATCGTCGCTTGACCCAGAAAAACAAGAACATAATGGCTCTTATCCGGGTCGCGAGACGGATTACTGTTTATTGCTTGCGCTCTAACCTCTTGTCATAGGTCTCCTCTCAACTTTCCTTTACTTCAACGCATACCAAAATTCCACAAAACTTGTCTTTTCTCTTAACATTTGTACTAAGAAACTCAGCCGTATGCTTCGTGCCTTGATGGTTAAAAGTTTTCCCTTACACGTATGTACGGAAACAGTAAGGTTTAGTCTTACGAAGGAGAAAGAGCCTTAACCAGACCGACTGTAAGGAAACAAAAGGCAAGTACGGTGAAAAATCTGGAAACCAAATTTTTGCTAATATAAACCAACTGCAGCCACAGTTAAACCATCAGTTGCTTGAGCAGTAGTTTTGGACGCTTCTTGGATCTTTTACTGTTACCTTATAACAGCACTGTAGATTTAGTAAGCTTGAGTTAACGAGTGACCTTTACATAATGTCTTCCCGAGCAGATTCAGTAGCATCTACCGGATCTTCTTCATCCTCATTGTCCTACGCATCATCCACTTCCTCCGATGGCGTGTATCGCCCATACAACTTGGTGGATCCTGGTTGCCCGTTTGCTAACGCTTGCCTGGAGATCGACCAGTTTTTTCATGTGTTCACTCGCACGCCAACGACTGCAGAGCTGGCTGCCATCTCCAATAGAGCATTCGGTAAGATAATTTTCCAATTGATTTTTTTGTCTATTATTGCAACAAAATTAAATTAAACAGAAATTGCTACCCGTATACGCCGTGATATGCTGGCCCGACGTCCAAACGTAAGCGCCATGGATAATCTTCCGGATGCCTGGGTGCATGCTATCCATCTGGCTAATATGATTTTGGTAAGTTCCACGATAGTTTTGGTTTAGTTTATTGCCCCGTCTTCAAAGAAGTGATATATTTTGTTAGCAAAAATATATTAGACGCATTCTTTCTATAGTATAGTTTTCTACCATTTATAGGGAGACATTCAGTTTTTCCATGACGCCCGTCTTATTTCTTTGGTTGGTCCGTATGGCCCTTGCGCCGCCTACAATTCAGTCTACCAGTTTGGCGTGACCGGCACCGTGCCGTACATTGGTGAGAATACCTTACCCACCTTGCAGCTTTACGCACCGCCAAATCCACCACCACCACAACCACCTACTGGCTTCTACACTCCAGCCAACGACTATCCTCCAGACAACACCCGCCACATCTACACTCCAATCAACGACGGCTTCGTCTATACTGCCGCTTACGAGAACGTCTACTCTCCGTTGCCTGACGACCACGAGCAAGAGCTAGCATTTTCCTGCCACAACGTTCTCGCACACCGGAACCGACCCAGATGGTGGAGTACAGTCCCGCTTCTCCTGACATGTCAACTTTGAGCCATTACCTTACGGAGCCAGCACATACCTCTCGTTGGAATGTTGCCCGCGTTGCCCGGGATCGAATGCCTTCACCGACTCGCACACAGCCTTTCAATTTGATTCGCTTGACGTCACCATCTTCTGCCAGCAGTCCATACCGCTCACGTCTTTTGGATGCGCCACGAGGTGGACGCCGCCGCTCTTCAACTCCACCGTCACCCACAATGCCTTCCACGTCTGATGCTTTTACTACACCGACACGCAATCCATGCCGACCACGCTTTGTGAATGCACCGCAACGCCGCCGCCGCCCGCCAACACCGTTCCATTCAACGCCTCCTCGCGCATCAACGCCAGTACAAGACTATTCACCAGACGACCAGACCGCCGTTGAAAGAATCAATAGCCTTCTTTCCCAGCCTTTCATCCTTGACCAGATCAACCGCATCGCTAACTCACCCCGGGACCATTATCCGGAGGAAATTTACAGCCAGCCGACTACGCGAAAGCGCTCCACCGATTCGCCAAATGAATCAGACCCTCGCCGTCGCCGCTATAATTAACTTGCAATTTGCCTAATTTTTAATATTTCTTGTTTTTTAAAAATTGTTTTGCTTGTTAGGAATCCAGGACTTGAACTATTGGTCACTGTCTTGTGTCTTTGTGGTAGAGGTTTAGCCTGGAACTAATGTTGTGGTATGTTGTACTACTGTTGTACTAATGTTGTACTAGCCAACTGTGTTATGTTGTAGTGGGTGGCGATTTGTATTAAACTACGTTAAACAGAGTGTGTGGTGCCATGTATTAAACTATGCTGACTAGCTTGTTTATAAGCACGAAGAAGCTCTGTCTAGCTTAGTCATTAAATCAAGTTTTTAGTCTATCTGTATTGGTATAATTGTAACAATGATAGGTCCGGCTGTAGAGGTTAACATACTATTACATTTTGTACCCATTCATTAAGTAAAAGAATGTCACAATTAGCTCCGGTTAGCTTTCCACGAATACGGAACTATCGTATTGTTTTATGAGATGAGTGGCATCGTTCTTTGAATATTAAATGCTTTCAATCCGGGTTCAACGTGTTTGTAGTCTGGAGTTTATTGTATATCAAATTATACACTAGCGGTCTATGGGTCAATAAAACAAAAGCCTTTTATGAACATGAGCGGCGGTCTATGGGTCAATAAAACACTAGCGGTCTATGGGTCAATAATACTAGCGGTCTATGGGTAGCGGTCTATGCGGTCTATGTTGTTGCACTTCATTCTAAAGCGCTTTTTTGTGTTGCTGCGACAAGTCATTAAACCCGCATATCTCTTTTTTTTTTTTTAAACAAACAGTTTAATAGACCGACAACTGATTTCATTCAGAGTTCACATCAAGAAGTTATTGTTAGACATATTGTTATTGTTAACATATTCTTAACAACATTGTACCCATCAACCGCAAGTTGCATAAAAGCATCATTAGCAAAATGGTTTAGCTTAGTTAACAGCATAAAGAAGAGAAAACAATTCATCAGTCTAAGTAATAACCAAATGCGTTCAACCAGCCCTCCACTGCCGTCATACCAGCTGTGTCCTCCATTGCATTGTTGTCCAATGAATACTGAGTAGACGTAAATGGCGGCTCGAAATCATCTTCGTCCATGTCTCCTAAGAATCCGTCGTCCATTTCATTACCGCCGTCTTCATCATTGTCCTCCATGTCGGTATCCTGGCCTCCGTCCAAAACGACCGCTCCACCCCCATTATCCGACTCAAAGCAAAGCGTTCTCATACCTTCGTCGTCCGAACTGTCAGAGTCATCCAAAGTAATGACGGGCGGCTCTTCTTTGTCTTCAATGATGATAGGATTTTCGGCACTGCCAAGTGGATCGTCTTTCACGGTAATCACGGTTTGAGTATTCGGGAAAGTAAACTTCTGCGGGATGAGAATTCCGTTATTCATAGGCAAAGGCACCTTGAAGTGTGAAGACGGTGGAGTAGGAATAGTGGGAGGGACAGGTAGTGTGTCTTCAATGGTCGTACCGTCAGCGAACGTTGCCTGGAATGTAATAATACCCTTGGAAACAATGGCGGTCTGGCTAACAGGAAACTCCATATGCATAGTAGCCGGATGGTCAGCAGTGACAGACACTGCCAATGGTGGAGTAGGCTGAGGTTGCTCAGTGATGACAGCCGCTGGCAATGGTGGAGTAGGCTGAGGTTGCTCAGTGATGACAGACACTGCCAATGGTGGAGTAGGCTGAGGTGGCTCAGTGATGACAGCCGCCGGCAAAGGTGGAGTAGGCTGAGCTGGCTCAGAGAAGACATGTGGCGATGGTTGGGGGGTGGGCTCCCGCTGCCGGGTGAAATCGTAACCGCCAAAGTCCGGGGTTGGAGAACGGCTTGACGGTGGAGAGGGTGTTGGTGATTGGATTACACGCTTAGCTGGGTTCTGCTTCTTCTTCTTCGGCTTGGCCTTGGAAGTGGATGGCTTCACTGATGATGAAGACTTGGCCTTCAGCTTCTCTTTCTTCTTTCGGTCACGCTCCACACTGCCTGCCATTATGATGGGGACCGTATCCAGTTGTAAGTTGGTACGACGCGGATCGGGAACAATGTCACAACTCAAGAAGGCAACCGACCACTAAACACATTATACAGATGTAACATTATTTTTGTGAAATTAAATAAAAATCAATATACCTCCAACCGGTTGACCGCATGTTGCAAACGGTCTACCTCCTTTCCCGGCTTACTCCATCTACAGCTTTCGACAAACTTCTTGACACTTGCACACAGATCTAATAAATTAAATTTTCATTGTTAAAGTTCAAACCTTTTAACAAATAATAACGAAAACGTACCGATATTATACTGGGCACACTCCCGTTGCTCTTGCTCCGAAAAACCATCCCACTGGGTTTTCAACCCCTTGATTATAGCTACAAATATTTTTCTCTTAGAACAATACTATTAGATAATTTCGATAATAAAAAAATTAAAAAATTATAAAGATTTTTAAAAAAAAATGGATAAGACTTACCACATTGCTGGCGGCACCACTCCTGATAATCCGCAAGATACTTGAAGGGAGCCATGGAGCAAAAGATAAACTGAACTAACTGAAAATATGAGGGGATCCAGGCAGGTATTCCAAGGTAAGTGGATAGGATTAAAAAAACTTTGGAATGAAAAAAATTTGCTTGGCCGCTGAGGTTTTATACTCAAAAAAAGTGTAGGTTTCAAACCTCAAAATTTAAAACAACGTATTAACTATTGTTTTAATTACTTGTACTACGCCACCCGTTAACTGAACTCTGTTGACCAGACTAAAAATTGACGTTTAGACTAGTAACCAACCGTAACGTTTCACTGAACAATACCACCATTACTTGTATTACCGAAAGTAACTGGAACGTGCTAATATCAGAGAGAAACCTACGTGGGCGTACTGCAGTTTCCAATCAACCAGTAAAAATCGTTCCTAAAACAATGAGTGACTGAAACGCGCTAATATCAGAGAGAAACCTTTGGGGTCGTACTTCAGTTTGGAATCAACCAGTAAAAACCGTTCCAAAAACAATGAGTGACTGAAACGCGCTAATATCAGAGAGAACTCATGTGGGCGGGCTTAAACTAATACATCCATACTGATACAACAACCATCTAAAATACACAGACTTGAAATTGGGCATCGGCTTCACGCGCACACACCGAGAGGGCGCGCGTGGTCTCGCTTCGCTCGGACCACTGTGTTACGTCACTAGCTATCTTATTAACCCGGATACTAATGAAATCTATGTTCATAAAAGGCTTTTGTTTTATTGACCCATAGACCGCTAGTGTATAATTTGATATACAATAAACTCCAGACTACAAACACGTTGAACCCGGATTGAAAGCATTTAATATTCAAAGAACGATGCCACTCATCTCATAAAACAATACGATAGTTCCGTATTCGTGGAAAGCTAACCGGAGCTAATTGTGACATTCTTTTACTTAATGAATGGGTACAAAATGTAATAGTATGTTAACCTCTACAGCCGGACCTATCATTGTTACAATTATACCAATACAGATAGACTAAAAACTTGATTTAATGACTAAGCTAGACAGAGCTTCTTCGTGCTTATAAACAAGCTAGTCAGCATAGTTTAATACATGGCACCACACACTCTGTTTAACGTAGTTTAATACAAATCGCCACCCACTACAACATAACACAGTTGGCTAGTACAACATTAGTACAACAGTAGTACAACATACCACAACATTAGTTCCAGGCTAAACCTCTACCACAAAGACACAAGACAGTGACCAATAGTTCAAGTCTAATACTCCAAGTAATGCTGTACTTGGAGACAACGAATCCGACCCATACGATAATCTTACAGTATAACTAGGGGTTGGGCTAAACGGTGATGAACCAATAGCTGGCGAGCGCACTGTACTAGGGGTTTTGCCTTGAGTTGTCACGCCTGATAGATACTATATAAACCCTAGCATTTCAGTTCGGTTGTTCAGTTGGTAGCCAAAATGGATATGACACAGATGAGCAATCGCTTCGAGAGTTTTGAAAACTGGGCGGATCAGTCCCTTGCCCCTGAAGAACTGGCAAGCCAAGGGTTCTTTTATCAAGGGCAGCATGACGAAATCCAATGCGCATACTGTGGCCTTATTATGGGTGACTGGGTGAACTCACGGTATAAACCATACTACCGACACCGTTTAGCACGTCCAGACTGTGTTAGGGCTAAGGAGGGTTCCGAATCAAGAAAACACATTCCGCACTCACCGGCAATGAAAGACTACAAGACACGCTTTGCTACTTATGCTGAATGGCCTGTTAACAAACACCAGCATCCCAGGGATATGGCTGCAGCCGGCTTTTATTATGAAGGCCGGGATGACTGTGTACGCTGCTTTCACTGTGGTGGTGCACTTTATGCTTGGGACAAAGATGATGTTCCGTGGGAAGAGCACGCTTGGACTTACCCGAAATGTCCGTATCTTGTACAAACAAAGGGCTCAGCATTCATCATCGATGTTCGTAAAAAACGCCAAGAAGCCGAAACAACATGTTGTGGACTAACGCGAAAAGCTGCAGCACCTACAACTTCCGAAGACCCCAAAGAGAAATTACGCTGTAAAGTATGCTATGAAAGTGATTCGGAAATCATGTTCAGACCATGCGGTCATTTAGTTTGCTGTGCGAAATGTTCAAGCAGGCTGCTGATGTGTCCGATTTGTCGGGGTGTCATTTTTCATAAGTGCTGGGCTTTCTTCTGTTAGTTTTACTGTCTGTATCATGCATGTTCATTCATGTTCATAGAAAAAGAGGGTGGGGAAAAATAAACCAAAGAAAGGGGAACAACCGGTTCAAACCGGCTCCAAACCGGTTCGACTGAAAACCGGACCGAAACCGAGCCGAACCGGACCGAAACCGAGTTGACCGTAAACTAGCGCTATATCTTCTAAAATTCCAAAAAGTTAAATCCATTCCGGTGTACCAAAAGTCTCATTATGGACCGATCTCTTTCTAATTCTGCCCGTAAATGCACCTGGGCATAAAGATCGTTTTTAAACCGACCTACTGCTCGAAAATGTTTTTCGAATTTAAAAATGAATTTCAAAAATTTAAAAATTCATTTCAAAATTTGAAAAAAATGCTTAAAGTCCGGATCGGTGTTAAAACGTTATTCATGACCGTGTGCATTTATATACAAGATTTAAAGGAGATCGGTCCATAATGAGACTTTTGGTACACTGAAATACATTTAAACATTTTGGAATTTCTAAGATCCATAACTCCCGAACCGGATGTCGCGCGCACAAACGGTTTTCTCGCCCGTGTATACAAATCATCTGGCTACAAAATGTCATTAAATAAAACAAAAATGTGTTTGGGAGTGCGCGAAAGTGAAAGATTTCGTTCAAGTACACGAATTTGTTACCTTGTTACTGGCCCACTTCCAATAACACTGAAAACTATGAAACAAGACGTTTCGGCTGCTAACGGTTAGAGGTATTGCATAGATCACGTTAGCATCACACAGTCGATTCTACGAACCATACAGGCATCGCAGTGCGCTTCCATTACAAGAGTAATTATTTTGGACAAAACGGAAAGAATTCCCAAAGTAAGTTACAAACACGTTTGTTCTTTTTTGCAACGACACAATATTTAAAGAGTGAAACACATTAGATGGAACCATACACATGTATTACAATATGTTTTCTTCGCTAGGGATTCATAAGACTTACCTAAATTTAACGCTTTGACTTCCGCCGGGTCATCCAATTCGTCGAGGTTTTTCTACGTTTCGAATCGGCTTACAGAATTCAAATCTGCAGACAGATTCAAATCTAAAATCAAAAGCTCAAGCTGTGCGCAGGTGTAGAGTGTAGGTAAGCTTGAAAACTCATGCCCTGATCTTCGCACGAAACATCAGCTTTCAGGAACGAATGGTTGTTTGTGCAGTACGCTAACACAATAATTCCCAAATACATATCGTAAATGATAGACAAAAAAAGCAAGATATTTGTAACAACAAAATCTTTCGAATGCTGGGCTAACACAAAAACGAAGTTGACGTCAATAGTTGTAACACACTTCACTGCGAATTCAGACAGCGTCTTCTAAGCGATTCCACCTGCTTGTGTTAAGGTATATTCATAATGCGTGTAGCGCATACAAATACAGAAACTTGCAACAGACAAAACTTCGAAATATATATTTACAAACGTGTATGCGGGATACATGTCAAAAGTCTGCTCTGTTAAATGTCTGCGCATACTCCGCGAAGTCCGTCGTAATCATTCATGCTTTCACACATATCAATATACTAGCGGCGGTGCCGCGATGACGTAGAATCGGTCAGCCGGCTCGGAAATCGAGATTAGAATATTTACAACAAAAATTTTTAGCATTTCTTTTCAGGGCCAATGTTAATTAACGCGCTTAAAAACAAAAGCCATTTTATCTTGCCGGCGTCCCTATTGAAGTACGATCGATGTCCATCCCGCACTCCAGATGTTACAAATTGTAGCATGTTGGTTTTTTTTTGATAATTCGGAAAAGGACACTATTAACAAAATTTTCAGCAATAATTTTTGGACTACTAGAGTACAAATAATGCATTTCTTAACTGGGGAGTGGAGAGTAATAATAACACAGGATTACAGTAATCAAAACTAACCAGGGCACATTTTCCGGGTCCAAATTTACAAAATTCTGATCTTTGGCATAAACATAGTATACCATCGTAATATACCTAAAAAAATAATTTCAGCTGCTGACGCTCAAAGGGCGTGGCCAAACAAAATTATTAAGAAAGTCGATAATATTTGTTGAATGGGCGCCGATCCGCGCTCTGATAGGTAGACAGCACCAGCAATCTACGGAAACTTTGACTTCTGACGCCTGTTGCTCATATCACAACGTCTCGCAGAAAAACTCGAAATCGGCCAATCAGTTCGCGGATCCAACATTCAGTAGTTAACTCAATCAACTGTACAAGGAATACCTACGTCCATTGCGCCTAAATCGCCAGCAACGGAATCGAACAGAGCATGCTCGCTTGCGCAGTATACGTTGAAACGAAGTATCAACTAATTTGACAATGGCTAGCGGTCCGAATGGCGCCCAGTTCGGTTTGCAAAACGCCCTGCGCGACGCTCTTTGAAACACCATTTTCAGTCCGCAGGTATAAGTCGTTTGTTGCCTTGCCTACTTCCTACCAAAAGACGCAGAAGAGGGTAAAAGGGGATCAGACTTAACAAAATGCGTAAGGTGGTCGTCATTGGTCAGAGAAATTAGGGCAAATAAAGCATACTGTAAGTCTATAGAGATGGCAACGGCCGGCTAAACGGCTGACCTTACGGCTGACGGCCGGCTGAAGTCCTTAGCCGGCTAAGTCAACGCGGCTGAAAGTCTCAGCCGGCTTGAGCAGCCGGCTTGACGTCGGCTTCGCTTGCAAAAACCGTCAGCCGGCTGGCCAATAGCCGGCTAAGCCGTTGCCATCTCTACTGTAAGAGGAGAATCTACTGTACACACAGCAGCCGCCCATCCGCCGCCTACCTGGTTGACTCAAGCTCAAGCACAAATATCTTGATCTTCGCCAAAAGCGGCGATGGCACAGTGGCTGTGCTACGTCGATCACACTCGGTAGCCAGCGGTTCGATTCCGCTCCTCCGCCATTTTTCGGAACTTCCTCAACAGACAGGAATTCATCTGACCGCCCTCCCTCGCTGAAATCACCACGGACAGCCGACTTATGGCTGACAGACAGCCGACTTATGGCTGACTCTGTGATAATACAAGAACAAAGCAGCTGTAACAAATACTGCTCCAATAATAGACCAGTGTTTGCTTTGTTCCACTTCCTGCGTGCT